TATAATAGATAATGTGAAATAAGAAGAAAAGGGGCAAAGGGGAAGAGGAAATGAGAGGGGTCAGGGAAAGGAAAGAAGGGAATGGAATTAATATGAGAAAATGAAAAAATGGAAACAAAGTCTTTGTAAATAGGGAGGAATGGAGAGGATGAAGGGAGGGCAGGGGAAGGGGGAAAAAATGAGAACCAAGAGAGATTATGTAAAGGTGCGAATTTCCAATGATGAATGTCATTATATTGTATACCTATAATGTACCAATTTAAATTTTGAAAAAAGAAAACTGAAATAATTTAGAATCACATGAGATGTGAACATAATCAGGAAAAAAATATATAAAACATAAAACAAAAAAAGATTTTTAAGACTAATTTTCAGAAGCTTCAAATTAACTCTGAACTCTGAAACCTCACGTTCATTTTTCTAGGCCTTTACTACTTAAAACAGCATGCAACACAAATACAATAATAGCCTCATGAATAAAAACAATTTACTTTTGGAAAACAATAATTAAAAATTAAAAATTTTTTTAATATAAGAAAACGTCAGGGTACTTACAGATGTCTGGGACATACTTGACTGTTGAGTGACACTTCCTGTTGGGGATGTAGATGGTCTTCCACTGGACAAACTTGCCTAAAACATAAGACCTTTATGATATATCTGTAAAAATCTAAAGTTAGAAACTTTCTGGTACCAAGATAACACAAAGCTGCAATAACAAAAACCAGAAAGTTCTATATATGAAACAACTCATTTTGTGGTCAGCATGGCTTACTCTTTGGCCAAACAGATTTTGTTCAAAACAAGTAAAGAAAAACTGAAAGAAGGACCCAACAGCTAATGTTATTTTACTAGCTACACTCACACTGGTTTTACTATACAGGTGTCTGTCATCTTTGAAGTGGAATCACCATACCAACATTATGAACAAGAAACTGAAGCTACATCAAGAGGCCATGGGTTTCAGTTTCCTAACTCATATTATGAACACAGATAAAGCAACAGCTGATATTTGTTGATAGCAGAAATAAACCTTTTTCAGGTTCAATCAACTGAGCTCCTACTCTGGTAAGGAGATTTAAGATTATATCTAACAGAATTTTATGTAAATAGTGTAACATTAATAAAAATCGTTCTTAAAACATAAGGATTTTGGGGCCGGGGATTTAGCTCAGTGGTTCTGCCGCCTGCCTCGCAGGCACAAGGACCTGAGTTCGATCCCTGGTACCAAAAAAACAAAACAAAACAAGGATCGAACTCGGGTTCTTGCACCTGCGAGGCAGGCGGCGGAACCACTGAGCTAAAGCCCCGGCCCTAAAACATAAGGATTTAACCAATGTTTATAGCAATGCAATTCACATTTCAGCCATAAAAAATAAAATCGTGTCATTTGCAAGAAAGTAGATGAAACCTGAGACCATCATGCTAAGTGAAATAAGTGAGACTCAGAAAGTAAAAGATTCTCTTATATGAGAACCAAAAATATAAATAAATAATGAATTAATGAATCAATGAGTAAAATAAAGGAGCACTGACAGGAAACCAGAAGCTAGACCCTTATACATGGGGAAGCAGATCAGGGGAAGGAAGGAGGAAGGAAAAGCAAGGTAAAGAGATTGAAAATGACACGGATTTGTTACATGCATGTACCAATTCCCCAAAATGAACATTATTATTCTGTATTGTAAACATGTACTAACATAAAAAAGAAATGAGCATTTAATCACATTTCCTTATTGTGATACTAGTAGGAATAATATAATTATATTCTAGAGAGGTGCCTATATGTATTTTTGAACGGAAAATTTCTGGAGGAATACATATAAACTGTTACACTGACCACTTCTGAAGTGTGGAAAATGTGTTAAGTGGGGAAAGGAACATCTCTACTTTATTTGCCTCTTACAATTTTACACTGCTTGATTTTTTAACAAATACAAATTACTTACATAATTTAAAAAGCAATCTTATTTTTGGTTAAAATAGAAATACAATTCATATAACTCTAAATAATCAGTGTTATACCTAGAATTTTGAACACAAAACCACACCACTACCACAGCATTTCTCCAATTTAGATAAAAAGCAGTTAGACAAGTCAGGCATGGTAGTGCGTGCCGATAATCCTAGCACTCAGGAGGCTGAGGCAGGAGGATTACCACTTTTAGCCCAGCCTGGGTAAGTTAGCCAGACCATGTCTCAAACTAAAAATAACAAAGGGCTGGGGATGTAGGTCAGTACAAAGGGCTTGGATTTAATGCCCAGTCCAGAAGAAAATTTTAAAAAGCAATGAGACAAAAGTTAGCAACAGTAACACACTGATGTTCAAATGAGAAGGGGAATGGGTTGGGGGATGGAAGGAAAAAAATGAAAACAAAGCTTTTGTAAGTGGGGAGGGGAATGGGAAAAAAAAAAGAACTAAGATTAAAAAGAAAAAAAGAACTAAGATACATTATGTACAGATACAAATTCCCTATGATGAATATGATCACTGTGTATGACAAACATGTACTAATAAAAACAAAAGTTAAAAAAAAAAGTAACACATAAAACATACTACTTTTCCCCCCAATTAATGTCGTCTCTTTTTTTGGTACCAGGGGTCGAACTCGGGACCTTGCGCTAGCGAGGCAGGTGGTGGAACCACTGAGCTAAATACCCGGCCCCCCAATTAACTTCTTTGGCAGTTTGTTAACATATTTACTTCAGGAAAAATAATCACATGATATATGAGAACTCAGAAAAATAACCAGTGTATTCATTTTCAGTAATTATCTGAAGATAGTGTGTTAACATTATGTGTTAACTTTGGCCTCATAAATTATTAATTTATCTGTCTTACCTGCACGGCAGCAAGGCTCTGGAGCTGGGAGCTGCTTAAATGTTGCTGCTGAAGGGCAGCAGTGTGTAGCATCAAGTGCTGCTGCTGAGCTGCATACATCTGCTGCAGGTACTGAGCAGCTGAACTGGGGGGGCGATGCAATGCCTGTTGAATTACCTGTGATAAGTCAATTGAACGAATGTCAAATCATAATCTCAACCTTTATCTTTTTTGTTTTTTGAAGTGCTGCATTTGAACCCAGAGCCTTGTATACACACATTAAGCACATGCTCTATTCCTGAGCTGTATCCCCTAGCTCAACCTTTATCTTAACAATAAAACGTATTAAAAAAGCAGCTTAAAATTTTACAATTCAATGTCATCAAGCCTACTAACATATCTTTCTCCTAGTTATATATTACTAGGATTCACTGGTTTGCAAATTAAATTACTCAATACAGACAATTCATAAAAGAAAAGGCCACGTGGGAAGATATCTTCAATTTACTAGTAATCAAAAACTTACAAATGAAAACAAGATACTGTTTTCCAACTTTCAAATGAGTGAAGATTTAGCGTGGCGTGGTGGCACATGCCTATAATCCCCGCACTCAGGGGCTGAGGCAGGAGGATTGCCTTAATATAATAGCTATATGTATAGCTTGTGGGTACTATATATTGCATAGTGCAGATATAGATCTACACTAACAAAAAAATCCCCAAATATACCATTAGATGAAAAAAAGCACATTACAAAATAATTTAGAATAAGGTACCATTCTTACATTAAATTACTTGAATACTCAGGAAAGCCTTTTTAAAAGACTAGTTATGGGTAGCTAGATTAGAAATGATTTTTAGCTTCTAGTTTGTACTTTTCTGTGAATGTCTGAAAATAACCACAATGAGTATATAGTGGTGCCTCGGTTTATGAATTTAGTTTGTTTTACAATTTTGGGAAGATAGCTGTGTTTTGTGTTTGTGGGTGAGGATGGCTGTGGTTGTGTTTGTCATTCAATGCAGAGTTTGTGAATAGAAGCAAAATTCTGCTGAATACTTTTGTTTCACAAGCTAAACTGTCTGCAAACAGAAGCATATGTGAACCAAGGCATTACTGTATATTATATCAATAATCATACAAAATTAGTAATTTTTTAAAAATAACAATTACTGTTAAATATCAGATTGTTTTCTTAACTTGCATTTATAATAAAACTATTCTTGCTTAAACACCTCCTGAAATAATTTTAATCACAGCAAATATTAAAAATTTGAGCCTAAAACTTCATATAAACAGAGAAAAATCAAGTACAGTATTCTAATAAGACCCGAAAAAAAATGTATCTTGCCAGTCCGCTGCCACCACATCCCAAAATCCTGTCATGTCCACTATGACTCTGAAACAACACAGAACCTTAATCTCCACAGCAAACCAGGATTTTCATAGTCCCAATGGAATAACAGAGCCATAATCGTTATAGCTTGAGAGTCAAAGTCAGAACATTTGGAACCATAAAGCCATGAATTTCTTAATCCAAATTTCAAGAAAGTGTATTTCCATGGCTGATGTTTATTTTCTCTCCAACTGTAGATTCCTATACCTACTATGAACTCATGTCACAAAATCAATGTAGGCTTTTGATTCCTAGTTGCAGAGGACTACAGGCCAGCATTAAGTGATTCAGAATCATAATACATCATTTTTTTAAATAATACATCGTTTTTGATCAGGAAAATCTATATATGTTCTTCTCGTTTCATAATAAAATTCTAAAAATCAAACTGAAATAACAAATGAAGAATCTGACACTTTTTTGTCAGAGTGTAGTAATTTTCTGTCGTCAGCACAGTCTTTCTTTACCATTCAATACTATACTCATGGCACCAGGTAAATACAAGTTAAATGTATGGCACATTGTTCTTATTTCATTTCTCTACAGGAACAAGGTGATAAGAATTCACAGGACTGAAAAAGAAATCTGGAAAATTAAAGAATTACTTAAGTAATTTAATAAATATTGATTTCATTGTATTTTAGGAAAAGCAATTCTATGATCTCATAAGAACTAGAGCTATTTGTGAAATATAGCTACATATCTCCAGTAATATTTTATTTTTATTAATATATCCAACTTACATAAAAACCAAAGATCAAACTGGCATAAATATCACAGGGATGAAGGGACCAAAAAAACCAAAATCACATCATCCATATGCTTAAAGATTTAGAAACTCTTTTCTATATCCCTTGCCTCTGAGAAAGGTGAAAAATGTTAAAAGCACACTTTGCATTTCATTTTTAATTTCTGCTGAGCTTGCTGGGTCCAACAGTTCTGATTCCACTCTACAATGACTTCAGAAAACTAAATCCTAATCCATAGAATAGTGATATAGTCATTGCACTACTTTTTTTTAGTATATTTTATGGATATCTGCCCAAAAAATAGAGCAAAAGAAGGGACTATATCACAAATAGTTAAGACTATAACTATGAGGGCCCAGGGATGTAGCTCAGTGATAAAGCACTTGCCTAGTATGTGTGAGACACTGAGTTCATGCTAAAGCACTACTAAATAAAAAAATAATGCAATTATGCAGACTCTACAGAAAGCAAGCTGGTTAAGGGCACAAACTCTAAAGTCAGAGAGCCTACTAGCTATGTGAGTTTAGGAAAGATATTTAGCCTTTTTTTTCCCCCGTCCCAGGGATTGAACTCAGGATCTTGTGCTAGCGAGGCAGGCACCACTGAGCTAAATCTCTGGCCCAATATTTAGCCTTTTTAAAACACTGGTTTTCCCATTTGTAAAATGGAGATAGTAATTTTGTCTGCTTTATAGAAGTGTGGTAAACAAAATAATTAAACAAAATAATCTACATAAGGCATTTGTCAAATGCTTTGCACATGGTAACTGTTCAACAGATACTAGCTATTATTATGTACTGCATATCTATAGTATACCCGATGTGGTTCTAGATACTTCACTTAATCCTCAGAGTAACTAAGAAAGCAGGCAATCTTACCCTAATCTTATAGACTCTTGAGGCTCAAAGAGATTATGCCTCTCACTCAAGGCCACATCAATATTAACGATAACGAAAATGGAATTCAAACAAAGAGTATATCATACTGTAATGCTCATGCCCTTTTTAAACAATACTATATTGCCCCCACTATAATAAAGTTTAACAGGGCTGGGGATTTAGCTCAGTGGCACTGCGTCTGCCTTGCAAGAACAAGGTCCTGAGTTCGATCCCAAGTACCAAAAAAAAAAATTAAATTAAATAAAGTTTAACTAAGAAAACTTTACTTTTCTCAACTAAGTGACTAAGCTTAAAACTCTTCCTAAATATTCCTTTTCCCTTCTGCCCCTAGTAGGTGGAAAATAGATCTTCCTCACTAGGATACTTAGGCCACCTGGGTTTTAAAATAAACCTTTTACATAGCTACAGACCTGAGATCTCCCTAAGTCTATATTTTGGGTTCAAATATAACCCCAGAAAAACAGAGAGGCATTCTGAATGCTGAGGTTTGTTATGGATTAGATCTAGAATCTCCTCCCAAATTCTCATGGCCTAGAGGTGGGCTTTTATTGATTGGTGTCTTTTTTTTTTTGGTACCAGGGATCGAATTCAGATCCTTGAGCTTGCGCAGCAGGCTGCGAAACCACTGAGCTAAATCCCCGGCCCGAGGTGGGCTTTTAAAGGGTGGCTGGATCACAGGGATGCTGAGCAGGTTGTTGAGAGGCCAGGCCTGGATAGAGGTGGGTCACTGGGGGTGTGACTAGGAAGGCTATAATATCTCCCTCCCAGGATCCTCCCTTCACTCTGCTTCCTGGTTACCATTCTGTGAGCAGCTTTCCACCACCCAGATCCTTCTTGCCTTGGGAAGAGCCAATCTCAGACTGAAATCATGGGCCAAAATAAACCTGTTTTTGTTTAAATTGTGAGTATTGGTATTCTGTCCCAGGAACAAAAAGTAACTAGGAGAGGGCTCTGGATTGAGCATCTTCACTTTGTAGCAGAACCTCCAGACCTTCCAATTAATTTTCCTGACACATACCTACATCCTGACAAATGCAAACCATCTCAACAGTATGATTATTAAATAGGTTAGTTGGTTATTTCAAACATTAACAATTTTTGCTAATGCTGAGGATCTATCTAGAGCCTTGCACAAGCCAGGTAAGCACTCTACCACTGAGCTACATCCCCAGCCTAAATATTACCAATTCTAACTGTATACTTCAGGATATGAATTAATACATGCATCTGGCTCAAGCAAAAAGTAATATGACAGCCAAAGTCCAAGCTATCCGCCATTCTGGCTAAAATACCTGAACAGCGTGTCGGTCTGAGCCACTGTAGACTGAAACCTGTGGCTGCTGCATTCGAGAGGAGGAGGTAGTGATGGTGGTGGTGGTGGTGCTACTGGTTGTGGTGGACACAGAAGATGCTCCAGGGTTTGGTTCACTATCCATAGTTGTACTGTGGTCCTTAAATCTGGTAGATAACAAAAAAGATGTGCATTGGTAAAAGCACCAGCTTATGAGGTTTATTTAGAGTATTCAACCCAAAGAAATAACCAGAGAAGAATCTAAATGGCTAATAAGGACTTCATAAAATACAGCTAGGACACAATCACCAATAACACTTAGGAGAGAAAAATATTTCACATATATAGAATACAACTCAGAAGAAGCCTTGCCTAAAATTTATCTTTGCATTATTGAAAAATGAGGGACTTGAAATCAAAACCGGTAGTGAAAGAATACTAAACTATCTAGAAAAATAAAAGTTTATAAATCAGAATACTTTAAATCAAATCTTGTAATTCTTTTGATCATAGTAGTAATTACAAATTAAAGCTATTCTTTTAAAAAGAATTCCTGAGGACTTGGATTCATTAGCTTAGTTGTGGTTACCATACATAATTTGCTTTAAAAATAAACTACAGTATCTTAAAAATAAAGTTAATTAAAAAAATTTTTAACTCACATAGCTTTCCTCCCAATCATTCCTAACATTCTCCTTATTATTTCTAATAACTGAGTTTTACTTATTAGCAGATTACACTGACTGGAGAAATAAGAGTAGCAGTTGACAGCAACTTTCCACATCCTCACAAAATCTCTTTCTCTCAAAAAGAATCTAGAAGAGGGGCCGGGGATTTAGCTCAGTGGTTCTGCCGCCTGCCTTGCAAGTGGAAGGATCCGAGTTCGATCCCCGGTACCAAAACAAACAAACAAACAAACAAAAAGAATCTAGAAGGGCCAAGGATTTGGCTCAGTGGTTCTGCCGCCTGCCTCACAAGCGCTAAGTCCTGAATTCAATCCCAGGTAACAACAACAACAACAAAAGAATCTAGAGCCATAAAATACATTTCTGTACCAGACTTTTAAAATCTTTTTCCTCTAATATTAAAGTTTACCTCACTTATGTTATGATACAGAAATTCACCCAATACAGAATCCACATTTGAATAAATTCAAATATTCAAAGTTAACTCTAAGGATTTCAAAATTGTTGGTAACTATGTAGAACTTTGGTGTTTATTAGGGCCAGAAATGCACAAGATGGTGAAAAACACATGAAGTTATACTGGTCTTACCTGCTTTTTCTTTTTTTATTAACTTTATTTATTAGTACATATTTGTCATAATATTGATCATATTCATCACAGGGAATTTGCAACTGTACATAATATATCTTAACTCTTTTTTTTTCCCATTCCCCTATCCTCCCTTCAACATTTCTTTCCCTCTGAACTAACAAAAGTTTTGTTTCCATTTCTTTCCTTCCCTTCTGTTTCCTTTTCCCTTTCTTTCCTTCCCCTGGCCCCTCCCTTGTTCCCCTTCCCGTTTGAACAAGTTCTTACTTCCCAATATCTATCCTCCATTATGCTCCAACCCTTTGGGTTTCTCACAAGAAAAACACTGCCATATTTAAACGTGTGTGTTTGATTTATTTCACTTAAGATTAGTCTCGAGATGCATCTATTTTTCTACAAATGACTCAACTTTATCCTTCTTTATGGCAGAGTGATACTCCATTACACATAAATACCACAATCTATCTGCTTTTTCTATACGTCTTTTCTCCTGAGAAACAAATGTGATCCATCTCACATTAGAAGCACTGACAAGAATGTAACAAGAACATTTTCTATTTCTCATACACAAAAAGGAATCTGGCATTAATTGGGCAACCCTATCCTATTCCCATAGGGTTCCTTTTACATACAAATCTGCTTTATTCCTTATCACATATGTAAACAGTATTTGTAGGCTCTGAAGAACCAGAGTAAAAACATTTCCAATTAATAAGAGAAAAGTGAAAGGGGTAAGGGGCTGGGTCCTCACATTTTATGATTAGAAAATGAATCACACACTTTTACACTTCTCTGCTATTTTTTCAAACTGCTTTCCAATCATCAAATCACAGTACCATATGGTAACCGTTCAATATTACAGACTTAATAGCAGGTAAGATAAACTTTTACCAAACTATTTCCTGGCATAACACTTTTGCAGCATGTATCAGTGACATGCAAAAAGCAAGCTCAAAATCTAGTCCTTTTAAAAGTGTTATTCTGTTCAACCATGCCCTCAAACCCAAATATCATAGTAAGTAGTCTTCACTACTAACCAAAAATGGTCAGAGAGAATCCAAATTCTAGGCATTAAGTAATTTAAACATTAGTGAGTGCAACTGGGCAAACCAACCCATTGAATTTGGAGGCCTGGCACAAAAGAACGATTTTGGTAACTACAGCGTCTGAGTATATTAATGCGTGCAAAATACAGCCGGACAGTTCTGGTTCACAAGAGGCCTAAGCAGAAAACAGTAAGTTTCAGAGTCGCTAACTAAGCATACCATCACACCGCTATACAAGAATGTGGCCCTCGGGGGAGGCATCAGCAATGCAGCCAGAGACCCGCAGGAAAGCTTTCCTTCCCTGGTGTTTTCAGCCGCACCCCACACTGCCGCTACAAGGCCCAGGCGGGGACACCTCCCCACGCCCCCGGCAGGCGGGCGGAGGGCAGCAGCGTCCCGGGTCTCGCGGTGAGCAGCGAGTGGGGCGGCGCCGGGCGGAAGGAGGGTGACGCGAGGGAGGCCTGGAGTTCGCGCCCTACCCACCCAGCCTCCGCAGGCGCCAGGCTGCAGCAGCCCGCGGGGCCCACTGGCAGGGATGACAGCGCTTAAGGAGCCCACTGGATCTGGTTTCCCGCAAGACGCCAGCGGCCGGAGTCCCACAGGTTACCACGCGCGCAGGGTCCTGACAATCCGGGACCTGACAGCGGAAGGGTAGCTCCCACTAGGAGGATAACTGGACCCTTCTAGCTCGCATCGGTTCCCAGAGTAGGGCCAAGCCGGCTTCTCCACTATAAGATGACTCTCGGGTCTCCCTTTTCCTGCACTGACCGCGAAAGAGCCCTGAGCTCAACCCCTGGGGGACTTGTCGCTGGCCCACTCGGCCCCCCCCCACCCCTCCGGTTACGACATCAGTCACCAGCAAGTCACTCACTCCGCTTCCGCCATCTTCTCTCCTCCATCACTAATACGAGCTGCGCATGCGCCCCCCCGGCAGCAGCAGGCAGAGGGGCGGGGTCGGCGGTGCCCCGGGTCCCCTGAGGTCACGTGGGGTCCTCCGCTGCCAATCCCCCTCCCACTTCAACCCCTGCTCTCCACGGAGAAGCCAGGTTTCCCCACCTTAATTATTGGTGTCTCCTTTGCAAGCCCTTGTTTTCTCTTGCTCAAGATCTTCCAACTCTTAGGATCTGTAACGATATAAAAAGTTCTGCTTAGAATTAAATATTTTAAGAAATATGCCAATCCGAAGAGGGGCTTGAAAATAAATTCCCATGAGAATTAGATGCTAAGGTCTCCCAGGGAAAGGAAATGTGCTGCAGCGGAGCTTGAGTTCCCATCTCACCGTCTCTCGGAGTTCAGCGGCAGCGTTCAAACGCCGGTGAGAGGCTGGTTAAGGAATGGTCCCTGTCTACGACCCAAGTTTACTGAGCTTTTAGTAGGGGTTGCAAACTTGAACACCACAGGAAACAAGCAGGAACAACATCTAATTGGTTAGGGTAATTTATTATATGCCAATTCTGAGGCAGGGTGAGACAAACATAACGAGTAAAATATTAACTATATAAAATTGTAAAGACATGTCTCCAGCGAGACGTCTTAATCTGGAGAGTGGAGTGGGTTTTATAGACACTTGCTCACAATATATGTGTAAATGTTCTGAAACAGGTCCATTAAGTGCTTTGAAAACCGTAAGTTGAAGGAATGATAAATCTTTGCTGCTTTTCATGGGGGGGAGCATAGTGATCATCAATGATGTCACTTTTTGCGTTTCATGAAATAGTCACGCTGATATCAAGAAATGAGAAATGAAGCATTTGAAAGAAATCCATCTTAAAGTGTAATGTGGTTGAATGAAAAGTATACTTAACTTTAGAAATCCTGTTCCAGGATGTGCCTAAGAAGAGAGAACACTTCCTAGGTGAACTTGTATTGTTCCTTTACCTCCTTTTCCTCTTTGATAACAATTTTTTTCTTTATCCTCCTAGCTAATAGCAGTGCCCTTCCTATAACTAATCCTAGAACTCATTGAAAAAAATCATTTAAAAAGTTGCTGTAGATGCAACTAAAAATAAACAACTACCTTTTCTTTCTTGTTGTGATGTGATTGTCATTTATCTCTCAAGAATCAACTGTTGGGCCTGGGATTTAGCTCAGTGGTTCCTCGAAAGCTCAAGGACCTGAGTTCAATCCCTGGTACCAAAAAAAAAAAAAGAATCAACTGTTCATTGCAGCTGAGCATGGACGTATATGCCTGTAATTCTAGCACTCTGGAGCCTGAGGCAGGAAAGGAGGATGGCAAGTTCGAGCCCATCCTAGGCATTTTAGCAACTGAGCAAGACCCTGTCTCAAAATAAAAAAGAAAAAGGGCTGGAATGTTGCTCAGTATATCTTCAGTAGAAAAAACTATTTTTACTGATAAAACTATTATTTGGAAAAACAAGAATGAAGAAAGCATAATCTTACACCTAAAGATGGAAAATGCACAATTCCAAGAAATATTTGGAATAATAGGCCAAAACTGTTCCTTTGCATCCCCCTTTCCTTCAGACATCTAAAGCTTATGTCCTTATTGTTGCCTTACACAGAGTAGCCTTAAAAATGACAATATACTGTAGGTAAAATCAGACTGGTATTGCTTTTTTAAAACTTCTAAAGTTCAATATTTACTAAAACAACAGCTAATATTTATGTAGTTTTTTTTCGGCCAGGGATTTAGCTCAGTGGTTTCACCACCTGTTGTGCAAGCACAAGGACCCAAGTTCGATCCCCAGTACCAAAAAAAAAAAAATTATGTAGCTTTTTATTAAGTCAAAGAACTTCTACTTAACTCATTTATTGATCTTCACAACTCTGATATGGTTTTCATTCCCAATTAGCACAGAAGTAAGTATAGAGAGGCTCAAAGTAGATACCTTTGCTGCCTGCTCAATGTGTACCAGAGTGGGGACAATTTAAACTTTGTATCACCAAAGCCCAATTTTCTTCACTACACTAAGGTAAAATGTTAGAAGAGAGCTGGATGTAATGATGCATGCTCGTAATGCCAGCTACTTGGGAAGCTGAAGCAGGAGGATTCTGAGTTCCAGGCCAGCCTGGGCATTTTAAGGAGACCCTGCTTCAAAGGATTAAAGAAAGTGGGGGAGACAGTGTGATGAAGAGCTACTCTTAAGAAACTTAACCTTCATTTTTCTGATCAAACCAAAGAAAAGTCTTTTACCTATTTGTCATTTTCTAACAAAGTATTTATTTGGTATCCTAGCAGGCTGAACTTATTGGAAGTTACTAGAAGTAACTAACAGGAAGTTACTTTGGAGAAGTGCTAGGATCTCATTTGATTTTAGAAAAAGCCTTTTAGCTTTGTAAGGATGGATTGGAAGAGTAAAACAAGGGACAGGGAGACTGTTCCTTAGGAGACTGCACTAATCATCAAAGAAATGATAAAGGCAACAGGAATGGAAGGGAAAGCAAATTAAAAAATTTAGTTTTAAGCTAAGTGAAGCGGTGTGCCCCTGTAGTCCCAGCTACTTGAGAAGCTGAGGCAGGAGTATTGGTTAAACCCAGGAGTTCAAGGCCATTCTGGGCAACAGGGACCATTCTGGACTCTGAAAAAAAAAAAAACCTAAAACAATATTTTAGTTCTTTAGCTGCTCTGGTCATATTTCAATTGCCTATTGGTTGTAGGTAGCTAAAGGCTACTCTGTTGGACAATACATATTAGAAATTTCCATCATTACAGAAAGTCCAACTGGACAGCGCTGGTCTGGATTATAGATCAGGGGTTAGCAAACTATAGCCCACGAGCCAAATCCAGCCTGCAACCTGTTTCTGAACAGCCATAGAGCGAAGAACGGTTTTTACATTTTCTAATGATTGAAAAAAAAATTAAGGAAATATTTTGTGACAATTGTAAAAAATGTGTGAAATTCAGATTTCAGTGTCCATAAATAAAGCCCTTATGAACACAGCCATACTTACTCCTTTATGTATTGTCTGTGGCTGCTGTTATGCTACAAGGGTAGAGTTGAGTAGTTGTGATAGACACTGTAATAGTCCACAAAATTAACATATATACAATCTGGTCCTTTAAAGAAAGTTTGCTAGCACTATTCTAGACCACTGTTCACTCTTCCCTGGTGCCTTCTGGAGTAGTTGGTACAGCACACACATTGTCCTGTGTCCCACTTAAGGAAGGATTACTGTCATAGGATTCCATGTGCTGAGACAATAAGTCCACCAGACCTAGATTTGAATACTGGGCTCACTGCTTTACCAAATGAGCCACGATGGGCAAATGATCTAACTGCTTCAGGCTTTATTTTATAATGTAAAAAAAGGGGCGGGGGCAATAATACTTTGAAAGATAAAGTCTACAAAAGGCCAAATGTGGGTCATGGATTTAGCTCAGTAGCACTGCACCTGCCTTGTAAGCACAAGGTCCTGAGTTTGATCCCTGGTACCAAAAAAAAAAAAAGCCAAATATAAATTCTATAAAGAAGTCCTCTTTTACTGTTTGATATTTTTTTTACTTTGCTTTTTGTTTGTTTTTGCCATACTGGAGATCCATCTTAGGGGCACTCTACCACTGAACTACCCCCATCCTTTTTATTCTTTATTTTGAGACAGGGTCTCACTAACTTGCCCAGACCAAATTTGCAGTCCTCCTGCTTCAGCCTTCTAAGTGGCTGGGATTACAGGTGTCCACCACCACACCTGCTTTTCTTTTTTTAACTTTTATAAGGGTCTTCCTTCATCTAGTTTGCTCAACCAGTGTTAAATGTGCCTCATATATGCTATAGGCTTTTTGTGGACAGAATAACTACTTAGATAATTGGATGAATGAGGCAAAATATTTCAGTGTATCCTAAAGTTGGAATGATACAACATAGAGACATGCTTTCTCTGTTCCTTAAAATTGGTAACACTGCCACCTCTTACCTACTCTTGTAACAATCAGTATATTAATCCTATCCTTATCAGTCTTATCTTCCTTTGTGTATCTGTGGCTGGCAGTGTGTACAGCTGGCTGTTTTCCCCTAGGTGCTGAATAGTGACAACACAGAGTGCTAGAACTGGAAGGGCCCTTAGAAGTCATATTACCCAATCTGAGAAAGAAGTCATGGTGACCACATTGTTTGCACTTTGACTTCCCACCCACCCATTACAGAGTTTTCTGCCATGTGCCACAAGGCCCTGGTACAAGAGTGTAAGTACAGAAAGGGCTTGAAGAGTCTGCTGTACTCTCATTTTTGTTCTGCTTTTATGCTTAGTATTTGCTTAGTATTATGGCAGCCCAGAGGAATTGTTATAAGTAGGCATTGGAATCAGACAGATTTGAATCCTGGCTTGGCCCCTCGCTAGCTCTATGATCTCTTCTAATCCTAGGAGCTCCACCTTTAAAATATAACCTCATCGCTGGCCGTGCCACCATGAGCACACCTGAAATCATAAAAATACAAATCTCATCTGTCATTTCTCTTCACCTTTGCTGTTGCCAGCCTAGGCCAAGCCATTGTTAGCCCTCTCCCAAGCCATAGTAATAGGCTCTTGGAGGTCACCTGGCTTCAGTTCTTGCCCCTTTGTTGCCTGTTCACCATACAGCAGCCTAAAGCAGAAATGTAAATCAGATTGTGCCACTGTCCTGTTAAAATCCTCCAATAGCATCCCACCACACTTAGCACAGATTCCTGAGCTTTCACCATGAGCCTATGAGGCCCCGTGTGACTTTCCTTGCTCAGTATGTTCACTCACCTGGCCCCCTTACTTGTCTTCCCCAGCCAGGAATGCCTTTCATGTGGGTTTCACCACCTCCCTTCATCCAGGCCTTTATTCAAACATCTCAGAGAGCACTACCTGAACTAATGAATGTGACCTTCTCAGCACTGTCTTTCCCTGTCACTCAGACTTTTCTTCTTACCACACTGATACAAGTCATTACACTATATGCATATTTCTTTTTTTATTTACTCTTCCCACCAACCTTCAGATTGAAAGCATCATATTTTGTTCACTGCTGCATTCCCAGTTCTTAAAACATCAAGTGGCCAATAAATACACATTTGAATGAATGATGTTAGTTAACGTCTGTAAAGGCCAAACAACTGATTTGTATTAAATGTCCAGAACAGCAAATCATAGAGACAGAAAGCAGATGAGTGGATGCCAGGGGTTGCAGAAAAGATGGAATGGGGAACAACTACAAAATGAGTACAGCATGTTTTTTAGAGTGATGAATATATGCTGGAATTAGGTAGAGGTTATGGTTGCACAATAATGTGAATATACTAAAAACTATTGAACTATATACTTTAGTTTTGTCAGGTGAATTATCACATGTTGGATATACAGTACACATTTATGCAAAGCATAGTATGATATACAATGAGTTTAGAATAATTTCTTCTGTGATGATTATTTAGAGGGTGGGTACGTTGAGTCCTGCTAAGTAGTTCAGGCTGGTCTCAAACTCATGGTGATATTCATGTCTCAGCCTCCCAAGTGTTAGAATTCAGATGTACATCACCATGCCTGGCTGTGATGATTTAATATGTGTAGTAGCTTTATTTAAATAATTTGTGTAATATTGGCATACTTATTTTGAGGAAGATTTGTGTAATTTATTTGAAGTTGTTTCATGAAAATAAATTCAAACATTAAAAAGTTGATAAATTTCTTGTTATCTGTGGCAGTTAGGGTGTAGTGTCAACTTGATTGGCTTTGGGTTCTGCCCCAGGGAATGGTGGAGCACACTTCCGGGTGTGTCCGGTGGGTCATGGAGTTAGGACC